TTTTTTTTTTTTTTTTTCATGCTACTCTTCCTTCTCGGTATCGTTCCAATTTTAACGGATGTCCCGGAGGACCGTCCAGTTGTTTTCGTTTTCACTTTTTCAGAAGGGCGACAGCCTTGAGATATCATCTTTGGCTGGCGCCAGGTAAATTTTGAGTAAGTTTCACTCGTCTGGTTCATCGGAATTCGAACTCAGGTCACCGTTTTCGACAATTCAGGCGTACTACGGTAGCTGAGCTAGGCCAGCTGGTAGTCGCAGCCTCTTGTTATTGCGGATGGTCAAGGTAGTTTAGGGGTTCTCCGCGCGGGTCACACGGAACGAAAAAGGGGTACTATGTATAGTAACGGGTGAATCTTGCTGGTGTCTGTGGGAAGATGCGGTCGTTTTTTTTTTTGTTTGGTCTCGTTTGCTGTGTTCACTGCGGGGTTTTCGAGGTCGTTGCGGGGTTTTCGAGGTCGTGGAGCCTCTGGCTGCGCGGTCACGAATGTGATCGCGGGGGATTCGTTCTCAACCGGGAGCTTAAAATGAGCGCGGGATGACATGGATCACTTGAAGGAGTTGCACGATGGTAAGGAGTAAATGTAGCAGCTCTCGACGTCGCGAGGACGACAGCGATGTGCTTGCATGCGTGACCGGCAGACGGGCCGGGCAAAGGTGCTATGTTGTAATCAAGCTCCTTGCTTCTTCGGCGATGCACAGGGTAGATGTTGTTTGGCGGGTTACTCGGGAGAGCGTGGTCAAGTTTTGACGGGCCAACCCGGTTACCTCTCTTGACTCTTGACGGAGAGAGTACACAACACAAAGAGAGAAGGGGAGAGAGAGAGAGAGAGAGAGAGAGAGAGAGAGAGAGAGTCTTACGAGTTAGTGAGAGAGAGAGAGAGAGAGAGAGAGAGAGAGAGAGAGAGAGAGAGAGAGAGAGAGAGAGAGAGAGTCTTACGAGTGAGTTAGTGAGAGAGAGAGAGAGAGAGAGGAGCCTTGGACGTTTGTAAGAGAGAGAGAGAGAGAGAGAGAGAGAGAGAGAGAGAGAGAGAGGAGCCCTTGGACGTTTGTAACTTGACAATGGCAGTCGTCGTGAACTCTTTCATCGTGGCTCTCGATCTGGAGACGCAGCGCTTACTAGAGTTAGGATGCACGGAATGGGGTCTGAGGGTGGTTCAGGTGGACGGTCGGTTCTTTGATGCACCAGAGGCGGGGAACTCTTGTTGGGATTTCAAGTTTTACGAACTTTCTCTGGGCAATGTTGTTTCCTTGAACGAAGGTGTAGGTTTCGTTACGGACTACATGAGGCATCCTTTTGTGCCTGTCGTGGAAGCAACTGTGTTTCAGGGCCGTACGGTTCCTATACACGTCGGTTTGCCAGACTGCCCGCCACTGTGGGCACCTATCCTGCACATCATCGGTGATGCCGACGTTTTCCAGTCTGCGTGTAACGGGGGGTTTTCTATCAAATGCGAGTGGTGGGGAGGAGAGGGGCGAAGACTGGAAGACTCGTCTTGGGATCAGGTACCAGCCGTCGATGGTGATTCTAGTAGGAGGGGAGACGATTTGGTCAAGTATCTTTGCCGCGAGCGTGGAGCGTTTAGTTGGATAAAGGGGAACATCGTGTCATCGTCCGAGCTGGTGATCTTAGGAGTGGATGCGAGGGACAGATTCGCCGCGAGGGCTGCGGGTGTGGCTGCTGCCCCCCATCCTGGTCCTGCTCTTCCTGAGTACTTTTCCTTCCCTGGATGGTTTCAGCCCGACCAGGGGTTATGGCCGGGCAGGGGCATGATGCCGTCAGACAACCCTATGTGGTGCCAGATGACACAGGATCTGCTGCATGTTACGGAAGGCGGCTTCCTGAGTGGTCAGCAGCAGCAGCAGCAGCCGCCGCCGCCATCAGCGCCTGGGCAGTTTGCGATATCAGGAATCCCTCCTGTCGGCGCGATAGGTGGGGAGTTAGGACCAGGAGTGACACCGGAAGAGAACCTCCTTCTGTCGCTTCAGCTGAGTGTGTCATCCGGGTTAGATATGTCATGGGCCAGGAAGGTGACGAATGCAGCTCGACAGGAATTCGTACGTAGCTGCGCGGAGGGAAGCAGTCGTCGTACGGAGTCCAATTTTTCGGACGGCGGTAGTCCGTTCCTGTCGCTCTCAAGCTTTACTCCGTTATCGCCGCCTTTTAAGATGCCGAGAATTGTAGACGAGACGGAGGAGAATGGCAGACCGGAAGAGTATGTGCCAGCGGTTCAACTAGAGGATACTCGCGAAGTGAAAGAAGAGTCGGAGAGGGAGAGATCAGAATGGGGATCTGCTGACGTGAGTGCGGCGGCGATTTCATTAATGGCTGAACCAAAGGAGACGGTGGGCCAGAGAGGAGTTCCGGAACAGATGCCAGCGCCTGCGTTTAGCAATGGTGGAGCAGAGGAGATGGCGAGGAAGGAGGTGGACGCAGTGGTAGTAGCAGGAGCGGCAGCTGCAGGCAGCGGCGGCGCTGGAAAGCGCCCTCTGGAAGCCTGTCGGCAGCAGCAACGGCAATTGACCCGAGGCGGAGCGCTACCCACACGCGAGCTCGGACCGGATGACTGGTTGCCAGAAGACATGTTCAGTGAGCGGTACGTTCCTCTGGCGGTAGTTAGGCAAGGGCGGGAATTGAACAAGCAAGCGGACTGCGTCCGTTTGATGACAAATAGCGGCTTGCTGATGTCCGGTGCGGATTCGCCTTCGTCAACGCCTGGCAAAGTGGCCGCTCGTATAGCTCTGATTGGAGACGGGCCTGACGCGCAGGACTTGCTAGACGAGGTGTCGAAGCTTCCTGGCTTCGAGTTCTTCCTGGCCTACGGCGACAAGCAGTACGAAGGTATTTCCGCTGTCGACGAGTTGGATTATGTTCACAAGTGGATGCGGCGCAGTTGCGATTTCTCGGATCCGAGCAGAGGGGTGAAGGAGGTGGCCGGCGAGATAGGCCTCCTCGCCATGACGTGTGCGCTATGCGACTGGAGCGGCCCGTTCGCGTCGTCCCGTTATTCCGACGGCGGTAGCGAGTGCTTCGAACGGGCGACGCTGGTGGCCAAGGAGCGCGAAGCCACTCACGTGAACCTTTCGCTCTTGAATCGGCTGGCGAGTCGCGATCCGTGTTTGACTGTGATTGGGGCGTCTGTGCGTGATCTTCCAACGGAGTTGGAGAAAGGGGAGTACTGGTTCTTTTGGTCCGAGTATGGGGATCCGATGAGCTCGGAGGTTCACGTCTTCAACATGCCTATCCCTAGATCCGACTTCCAAGGCCGCGTGGAAGAAGTAAACGAGGACGAGGGAGAGGAAGGAGGCGTTGACGGGAAGGGTGGGCCGAGGAGCGGCGGCGGCACAGACTGCTGCGCGAAGAAGAAGGTACTGCGGCTGGACGTGAGCGGTCTGGGCCTCGGGAATGCCGAGGGCTGTCCCGGCGGCGTTTTCGAAGTTCCACTGAAATCGAAATTCGAGTCAATCGTCAAACTGGGAAGGTCAAGATGGGCACGAGTGATGAAGATGAAGCCCATGGTGCTTTACGCCAAAGATGTGCTGCGCAATCAGACGGTCGCGATGCCGCGAACCGTGATGTCCTACGTGTCATGTTGTCGGATACGTCTGGGTCTCGACGGCTCTACGTCCAACGGGATGGGGATCGATACCATCGAGCTGCAGGTCACGACGACCAGCTTGGACAGTTTCGAGATGCCGAGATATGGGCGGAATGGGGCAACAGAGCCGTTCGGCTTTCGTAGCACGAACGCCGGAAGGTATGCGCATGCTCCAGAGTCCTACCGGGCTTTGATTGAGCCACGTGTCGCCGAGGTGTTCGACAGGATCCTCCCGATGGTTACTTACGGAAACAGAGATATGTCGGCTGCTGAGCGGGCTGGATTAGGAAAATTCAGAGCTCATCCACTGATGTGCAGAGTGCAAGACGTGGAGAGGGCAGTTGCGAGAGCTCTAGGAATGGGAGAGGGAGACGTTCGCAATCCAGTGCGAACGCTCCGCCACCCTGTGAATGCGACCAATTGCGCCTGTCTCGCGGATGGCATGATCGCTCAGGGAATGTTGCAACTGTGTTGGGTTTTGAAAAGCGGCTCCCGGCCGGCCGAGCTTTACCAAGTCGGCAGATGGTCGCTGCGTATAAGTATGATGGGCGATCGACAGGAGCAGCTGCATGCGGTACTAGGTTTGTTGGAAGAAGCTCGCTGGGAGTGCAAGAATGGATCATCAGACCTCAGCAGCCGCCGCCGCCGGCGTCGTCGTCGTCGTCGTCCTCGCACTCGTCCTTCCGGTCAGGCGTTGACTCGCCTATCTGACAAGGACGAGACGTGTTCTTCTTCAGATGATGAAATCATTTGCCAGCATTTGAAAGCCATAGATTCTACCGGTTTGGGTGTTCAGAGTGATGGCACGGGATGGCTGGAGTACCGGGACTTGTTGTGCAAAGCGGTCGAGGCTCTTTCACAGAAGCAAAAGGGATCCGCCCGCGTTTGTTGCCGTTGATGCTCACAGGGGTGCTATCCTAGATCGGCGGGGATTAGCTAGCCAGCAGGCTAGTCAGCCAAGCTTTGAGATTGAATGGTCGGCAAAGAGCCATGGTACACAGCATCTACCGCGGTAGGTGCGTGGCGGACTGAATAAGGCTCCAACATGATAGTCTTTCATGATATAATATAATGTAATAAAATATAATATACTGATATATAATTACAGGAGTACAGCAATGATGATGAAGTAGAATCTGTAGATAATGATCTGTAAATGGATGATGTTGATGCAGAATGTAATTAGACAGATGAATGGCTGGGTAGCATAGACTCATGGCAGGGTTGAAGGTGAGAGCAGGCTGCGGGAGAGGCTGGACTGTCTATGGGACGTTTATGGTGGTGCGGGTCTGTTCATGGACGTTTGTACCGGTGCTGAACTGTCTATAGACGTTTATCCTAGTGCCATTAGCTCAGTTCTTGTAAATTTTTGTAATGCTCGACTTCGTTGCGACCAATAGAGTGATTCAGGGCTCTGCTTACAGATCTTTAATTACTGTGTCAAGTGCGAAGGAAATGCATACGTCGCATACTACTAGATCGTTTGCCGACTTTTGGTGGGATCCCGTCTTTTGGATTCTTTTCCCGTTTCCATTCTAGACGAGGGAATAGAAGTGTGCTATACTAGTCACCGGATGTGCATTTTCCGTATTTTAGTGTATGTGAACGCTCCGAGGCGAAACCAATGCTGCTTCTGCCGCGTCGTTGTCTTAATAGTCGTTAGTTGTGGGAGTACGAGATGCAACATGGCGGAAATCCGAGGATTTCCTTGTCATCCAGCCGGTTCTTGTCCCGGTATCCGGCCAGCCGAGCGGCTCTGCATCTCAGCATGTTGCTGCTGTTGGGTTTCGGTCGCTAATCTTTCCACTCTTATCTTTTCAAGTCTTTTTTAAGATAGTAATAAATAATACCATTTGTTTCTAACAACCGCTTATCGTTTGGGCTTTCGAGCTAGTAATAGATAATACTTACCCATTTTCTCCCGAGTCCTGAACACGTTTTGTCTATCAAACGTGCTCTAGAACGGACCTTACTCCCACCCGTAAACGAATATTCAGCTTAGCTTCGTTTAGCTAGCTTGCATGCAATTCAATTGGGAAACGGTTTCAGGAAAGGTACGTGGTGTGGGGAAGGAAGGTATTTTGAGCTGCGCACCTGTAAACGAACCAATTGGTAGGGGACTGGTAAGTAGTAGTACCGCCTTCCTTCGGGCATCAGGATGAAAACAGGTTTATTCTCGGACTGGGGATTTGACAACGCGATGAAGGTCTATTCTGGGGGCTTGAAAATGTGGGATGATCTTTCAGACTGTTTCTATTCTATCAGGGGTTTTGCAGGAAGGATGTTGGATCTCGTACTCATTTAAGGTCATTTGTAGCGGCCTTAGTTGGCTAAAGATTTTTCGTTTCAGGACTTTGCAGCAACAGGCGTGGACTCCTTTGTGGAAGCAGTCAATCTCCTGGCCTTTCGGCTTGGACAGTCAATGGTGCTTGCCCACATCATTCTTATATTTGGTTAAATGCGAAATGGGGACGCTGGCCCCATTTCCAGCACGTGCTGCTTCCCACGAATAAACCGTAGCCTTTATTTTGTAAAGAAAAGGATTCCTTTTGCGTCCATTTCTGTTCTCTCCCCCCCCCCCCCCCCCCCTCAGAAAAAAAAAACAAAAACAAGCCCAGCCTAAACGTTGTTACAGGAATGGTCTTCTATATCATGGTCATTCATGTCACCAGGTTAAATCTTTGCTATGCATTTCCGTTGTTTTTCCAAAGGGAAGCCTCCACCTTTTTGTAGGAACGTTCTTTCCATTTCGTGACCGTCCTTAGGTGTGCATTTCCGTTGTTTTTTCCAAAGCGAAGCCTCTCCCTTTTTGCAGGAACGTTCTTTCGAACGCGTGCCCGTGATAACGTTTAACTTTACATTTCCCCGGTATGAGCAGTTCTGTAAATTCTGTTTTTCTTCCCACATCGGAGCCTCCGCGTAATTGCAGCAGAGTGGAACGCGAATAACTGATGATCCAGTTTTTTTCTGAAGAAGCTGACGTTTGCAGTCACCAGAGGCCAGAGGCCAACTGTTGTCCGCAGCGGAAGTCAATGGTGATGTTTTGGGGACGAAAGTATTCTATTACGTGGACCAGGGTTTCGTGGGAGGATGAAATGCGACTCCAGCTCAGGAGGAAGGTAAGTACCTGTGGATGCGGGGGGGTATAACCTGCCTGCCCGTGGGGAATGGATAGAATCCGAGCTCAGGAGGAAGGCAAGTACGTGTCAGGGGGAAGGGGGGATGTATAACCTGGCTGCTCGTGGGAGAGGGATAGAATGCGAGCTCGGAAGGAAGGTTGGGGGGAAAGGGGGGGGAGATCTCCTGGCTGCTCGACGTTTTGGAATTCCCGATATTGCATTTGTTGAAGTCAACTTTGCGGGAAATTGAGATCAATGTGGCATTTATGACAGCGAACGAGGATCATCATTCTGATAGAAGTTGAAAATAATTCAATTCTGGGCCCTCTGGCATGTGCCAAAGAAGAATAGTAGTGATCATCCCTCCAGAGGGTGGGGGAGGGTGTTGGTGGGGGGGGGAGAGGTGGAGGTGGAGAGAGCGAACGATACTCATGCTGCTCGAGTACCGTTAGGTGGAAACACACCAAGCCTGAGGCAGTAGTGTCAGTAAGTTTGCGGAGTCGTTGGGGCCATCTACCTTCGGAGCAGTCGCTCCGCTTCGAGTCCGAAGACGGGCACTTACGTGTTCGTCTCTCGCATATTTGGCAGCCATTCTTCTATTTTTCAATTCGAGTATATTTCAATGTTCTCAAGAATAGGCAGATTTCGAGGTTGCGAGAGAAGCTTCATCAGGAGGATAAGAGGAGAAGACAAACACTCGAAGCCTGTCGATCGTAGTAGTTGCGTTACTATCTTTTCTTCTGGAGACTGGTCTGACTGGAAATATGGACGTTCGTATTTTGATATCACGATTGATTTCCTGGCTATGGAACCCCTTTGCACGCGCGAGGGTATATATGTGGAGAGGCTCTGTGGACTCTGTAGTGCCATCAACACGGGAGCTATATATCTTTTTGAAGTGTCTCCCCTTATTCCAGTTATGGCGAACGCCGAAGAGTGAAAAGGAGCAGGGGGAGGAGGAGGAGTAGAGGAAACGAGATCTTCTTGTCTCTTTTCGCAGAATAGTGTTTACCCATTTGCATGTGCATTTGCCTCTTGCAACCATCCTGTCCTATGCGGACCAGCTGTACGCGACAAACGTAGATGCAGTTGTTGTTGTTTTTCAGGTAGAAGTTCCTCCTCCGAGGAATTTAAGAAGAGGAGGTGGTACCTGTCTGGTAGATTGGGCGGCAAAGCGATGGAGCTGACCATAAGCAGGAGCTGATTATAAGCAGTTTCGAACAGTCCTAATGCCCCCGTTCCTTCGATTCAGGAGAGGGAAAAGTAGCAAGAGACATTCGCGTCCCCCCTTTGCCTGATATATACACGTACACGGCATAAATTCGTGCGTTTCGCATCAGATTCTGCATGATATAACGGACCAGGTAGATTCGTGAGCACTGGACGGTGGGCCCATGCAGATGGTTATGGCGTTGGGGTGTCCCACGCAGGAGGGAGTACATCTGGCACAAAAGAAACGAATTAGCTGACTTTGCATGGGTCCTGGGGACTATCTCACGCAAGTGTGTACATGCCATGCATCGTACTCCCACACACAATGAACAGTAGTCTGACAATAGACAAAGATAGAGAAGATGAGGACCGAGTTTCACAGTTTATATTATCAGAAATATGAATACAAAGTGTTTCAAAGTTCCCCTGAGTCCAGYGCTCATCAGCRCAACACCAATATCTTGCCAAMTCATCAATATGCCTTCCAGTGAATCAGTGCTACCCCTGCAGATAGTCTCCAAGTCATCAATGTGGTCACCACTCATCAGCACCACCTCTGCAGGTCACATCCAACTCAGGTAAGTATCTTCCATAGCCAACCTTGAATGAACACTCTCAGCCTCAATCCCTTCCTCCTATGATGCATACACACTCTTCAATACTCATGAGGATCTACTCTGGATACTACTCATAGCTACATACTAACCCTCTACTACTAATGCTAACTCGCTGGGCAGCTATGGCTGCATCACTTCCAGCGTACAGGCATCTTCCTCCCTCCAGCGCGTCTTCTCCTCCAGCGCTGCTCCTCCTGACTCAGTGCACAAGTGCACCAGCACTTCCACGCATTGCAGCCAGTGGAGATCTGGCGAGGAATGAGGCAGGCAGCTCTTTTTATAATGCTGGCCACTCCTCGCTGGGTCTGCATTGGCTCAATTCAGCCTCTCCCTTTGTCCCAGACCCTGCATTGCATGTGTCCCAGTACCTGTCTCTTATACACATCTAGATGTGTATAAGAGACAGAACTGGGACTACACATCTTGACTTCACTTTCGGACAGGCACAACTCTAAACGAACAGACACATTTACTACTTGAACAGGCACTTTCCATTGCACGAACAGGTACACTGCCTACACGTACAGACACACCCTTACTCGAACAGACATGACATACACATCTCCTGGTGAACAGGTAAGTCTTTTGACAATGCCCTTTGCCTTAGATTTAGATGTGCCTGTTGATAGAGAACTTGACTTTTGACCTGTTTTCACGTTTCTGAGCCCTGGCAAGATACCTTTTCACAATGCTTTAGTTTTACAAGGCACGGGCTGCTCCATTTTTACAAGTCCTGAGGCCTATATCGGGTAAAGGCCCTTTTAACTTGCTGATTTCTGTTTTTTCCTTTTTTCTTTTTTTCGTCGTCTTAGTACCTGCAGGACGCTGAGTGTCACACACATTTGACGGTTGATTAACACAACCGAATCGAACCGATACTGATTGAGAGGGTATAATCATAGCAGGGTTTTTCTTAGCTGAATCTGGTCATGATTTGAAGTCGTATACGTTCAGGAGCGTCTCGAGGGTGGCTGACTATCCCCGCAGGGTTGAGCGTGTAAAACCCTTTTTTTTCCTTTTTCCTTTCTCTTTTTTTTTAAGCGTGGAAAACCCTTCAAAAGGGTTGGAAACAGAAAACAACGGAAGGAATCGCAATTTTAAGAATATTACAGAACCAAACTCTTATCTTCGAAAGGATAGAAATCAAACAGGCGGGTGGGGATCCCCATTCATTTCAGAACATCTATCTGCTGATTCCACATTTGTTAAGGGCTATAGAATCAGTCCAGGATTCTGTAGGAGGCCATGCGTTTGCCCTTGTAGTCTCCTAGATGTGCTGTTTTTTATGTGTTGAGGTCCATGGCATGTACGGCCCTCCTACGCCCTGCGAAGGTTGACCCATGTTAACCCTATTCAACCTATTGCACTCGGCATAAATAGCCAGCCATTAAAGGTTAAAAAACGAG